GATCGGCACGTTTCATTTTGGCGAAACAAGACACCGATCTACCCAAATTGCGCACTTCCGGCAAGATCGGCCGATCCAAGACGGAGATCGGACCGATCCCAAAGGCAAGATCGACGCGTGACTTTTATTTGCTGAGTGAAGATTTCCGCACAGCAAAAACCCCGATCTCAAAGACAAATCAAGATCGGTGCGATCCAAGATCGGGATCGCAGAACCCCCCGTTCGTGGTGTGAAGATTTCCCCGGCACCGGAAGCGAACCCTCAACCCAACCCTCTCAGCGAGATCGACATCTCCCAAGGCCGTTACGAAGAGCTCAAGCCAGCCCAACCGACGGGTACACAAGGTGAGCACAAGGTCATACAACAAGGCACGGATCGGAGTACCCCCTCCGTGAGTCGGCAAGTCTGGGGCAAGTGGAAGATCGACACTCATACAAGCAATTTTGTGAGATCGACTTCACCACAATGGTGCGCGTGCCCGGATCTTCTGAGGCCTCTGGATTTCCCCGTGAGTCCACTGGCGAAGATGTCAAGATTAAGCAAGAACCTGGGATTGAAGTGTCAGCGACAAAGGGATCGACGCAGACACGCAGAAGCACAAGATCCTCAGATCATCAGAGTTTTGGGAGGGGCTCTGATGAAATGAAAATGAAAGAGGAAGATCGAGAGATCGATCTGGAAGATAAACCTCAATTCCCTCCTAGGGTCCCTTCGGGGGCCACCGCAGATCGCTCTGCAAAGAGCGATCTGCTGGATGAAAATCCAACGGTGAAAACCAAATCGGCGAAAGCCAAACCCTATATCTTAGTCGATAGATCGCCCGACCTCAAGCCGAAGAGCACAATCGCGAGATCGACCACATCAGAACGATCCGCGACGAGATCGATTGGATCAGATGTCAAAGATCGCCAGATCGGCCGAACCGTGCAATCGAAGATCGGAGCCAAAGAGGAATACGATGAAACACCAGATAAGATCGCGATGCTAAAGACGGAATTTAACCCAATAAAGATCGCGTCCAGGGAGAAGGAGACGACGGGTGAAGCGCGGGAGCGTGCAAAATGGCAGTACTATTATGGCCAGTTGAAGACGCTGCTCAAGACAGACCCAGTGTTCAAGATGTTAAGGCCCAAGGTGATTGGTCCTCTGGATAAGCCGATCTCGGTCCCACTTCACGGGACCAACAAAGTCGACGAGATCAATGTGATTTTGCAGATGTTGGACGACATGGGTATCTGCCCTGACGCTTTTGATGGAGATGAACTGCTGAGTTGCAGCTTGGAACAGTTGAAGGACGCGGCGAATGAGTTTGTAGAGATCATGATAATGCTGGTGGGCAAAGCGAATACTCCTGAAGACAAGATCGGGACGCCCTCGGGCTCGCTCCGTAAACACCCCGCGGGATCGCCCCGCTACGCCTCGGATGACTCCGAGAGCGAGTCAGATGGATCCATCAGCATTCGTCAGATGTCTCTAGGACCATCGGGTGGAAGGTTCTTAAAGGACAAGATCGGACAAGCCAAGATCGACGCCTATAAGGGACAAGCCAAGAGCAACATGCCGCAGAGATCGGCCAGTACCCGCACTGGGCTGGAGGATTGTTGTAACTTGAGCGCGAGGCGAAGAGAAAACGAAGCGGAGAGACCGGAGAGAACGAAGCAGAGAACACTTGCTCACTTGAGGGAGGATTCGAAAGTGATTGATTTATAGGTCTTAACTTCTGCCTACCCTAGACTGCATCCAATCACATGGTGCATCTAATCAACCTGATTTACACGCGTCCAATCATCCTACGCGTCTAATCATCTCTGAGGTAATTACCGATGTAAAAACTATCTCGTAAGAACTACGCGCTAGGTTCGGATTGTACCGGTAACCCTCAATACGCCCCCTCAATCCGAACACGCACGGATGCCAAGCGCCGCCGTCAAGTCCTTGTGACGCGGTCCGTGAAGTCCCTTCGTCATGATGTCCGCCAACATCAACGTCGTCTCGCAGTATTCAAGCTTCACTTCGCCGCGCTTGACTTCATCACGGATGTGATGGTACTTGATGTCGATGTGTTTAGCGCGGCAGTGGTTGACCGGATTCTTCGTCATCTTGATGCACGACTGGTTGTCTTCACGGATGACGAGCTCGGGTCCTTCTTCGTTTGCAGCCGCCATGATCTCGCACAGCAAGCGATTGATCCACTTGCCTTCTTGGATCGCCAGGCTGAGCGCGATGTACTCCGCTTCGCTTGTAGACAGTGACACACTTGGCTGTTTCTTGCTGCCCCAACTCACCGGAGCACCCAATAGCATGAAGACGTAGCCGGACGTCGATTTGCGATCAGCAAGGTCACCGGCCCAGTCTGCATCTGAATAGCCACGAAAGTCGATCTTCGCACTTGGCTTGTAGCAGATTCCATGCATCTTGGTGCCTTGTAGGTAGCGGAAGATGCGCTTGACTGCAACCCAGTGTTCTTCTTGGGGTTTCTCCATGAACCGTGACACAAAGCTTACAGCATAGGCGATGTCCGGTCGCGTTGCAGTCGTCAGATGCATCAAAGCACCCACTGCTTCACGGAATGGGACATCCACCTTGCTTGCAGAGTTGCTTGGAACCAGTCGAGAGCTGACGTCCACCGGACTTGCCACAGCCTTGCACTCATCCATTCCAAAGCGCTTGAGGACATCGTCGACATAACGGCGCTGACACATAGTCACGCTGCCATCTTCACCGTCCAATAACTCGATCCCAAGAACAAAGGCACACTTGCCGCTGTCCGTCATCTCGAAGCGTGTCTTGAGGTCGTTCTTGGTGCGCGCAATCATCTCGAGCGAGCTTCCAGTCACCAAGACGTCGTCCACGTAGACCAGCACAAAAACACAATGGCCTTCCGAAGTCATGATGTAGAGACATGGATCGAATCCCGACGCTTGAAAACCAATCGAGCGTATGAACTCGTCGAAGGTCTCGTTCCAAACACGCGAGGCTTGCTTGAGACCGTAGATCGCCTTGATCAGCTCGAGACAGTCGAAATCACCTTCCATCTTGACGCCTTCCGGAACAGCGCAGAACACCTTCTCCTTCATCACTCCATACAGGAACGCAGTCACCACATCGAGCTGGTCGAGGGGCCATCCAAAGTGCTTGGTAATGGCGATGACCATTCGCAGCGTCACATACTTGACCACGGGCGAGAACGTCTCCGTGTAGTCGATGCCATACTTTTGTCGAAAACCCTTGGCCACAAGTCGTGCCTTGTATTTCTCGATCGGCCCATCCGCCTTGCGCTTGATCTTGAAGACCCACTTTGTGCCAATGGCGCTTTGTCCGTTGGATAACTTGGCCGCACGAAAGACACCGCGAAGCTTCATCGAATCGAGCTCCGCATCAATTGCCTTGCGCCAGTGTACTTGGTCCGGGCCAGACACTGCTTCTTCAAATGTTGACGGCTCCGAAAAATCGACCGCTGCTTCGACGGCGTTTGCACTCGCATGCCAAAACGCGGAGGAAGTCGGTGTGTCATGTTGTTCCTCCGACTTCCTTTCTTCATCTTCGTTGGCTCGACGTGAAGAGAGGTCATCCGGCGCACTTGACTCTTCCAATCCGGGTCGTTGGCGCACTGCTTGGGGCATGCTTGCGTCGTCATTGTCGTGACTGGGTTGGGCCTTGCGCTTTCCTGTTTGTTTGAAGTGTCTCGGACGCGGTTCTTCATCATCAAGATCGATCGATTCGAAGTCCAGGCCATCAACATCGTCATCGGAAATCAGCATCGACATTCCAAAGGCCGACTCATCGAAGTTGACATCGCGACTTATCATCACCTGCCCCGCTTCGATGTCGTAAACTCGATACGCCTTGGACACTTCTTCGTAGCCCAAAAACAATCCAGCCCGGGCCTTGGGATCCCACTTGAGTCGTTTCTCCTTCGGGGTCAAGATGTATGCTTGGCACCCAAAAACGCGCATGTGCTTGACACTTGGCTTAGAATTGAAGACAATCTCGAACGGTGTCTTGTGTGGAATCTTGGGTGACGGCAAACGGTTCTTCACATAGACGGCCAAGTCATTGCCGCTTCAGCCCAGAAGCACTTGTCCAACTTGGCATGATGGAGCATGCTACGACCGATGGTGACGATAGTTCGAATCGCGCGTTCAGCAGTTCCATTGGCTTGATGTGCGTATGGCACCGTGGTTTGTTGCTCGATGCCTTCGACTTCGTAGAAATCTTGGAGCGAGTTCGTCGCAAACTCGCGGGCTCCATCGTGTCGCACAAATTTGACCTTCTTGTTGAACTGTGTCTGTATCATCGTGATGTACTTCTTGATGCACTCTTCGCTCTCTGACTTGGAATGCAGACAAAAACCCTTCATGCATCCGCTGGCTTCATCCACGATCAGCAGCAGATACTTGCTGCCACCCAGAGATTTTTCTTCCATGGGTCCGCAGATGTCGAAGTGGAGTATCTCGAAGGTGTTGTAGGTGCGCTTGTCACGGTTGCTCGGGAATGGTTTTCGGACCATCTTCCCTTCTTGGCATCCTCGACACACACTTGATCCATTCGGCTTGGAAGGGATGTGAGCGTCCTTGATCATGTGGCTTGTCACCATCCTGCGAAGCACGTCGACTGGAGCATGGCCCATTCGGGCATGTAGATCAACAGCGTTGCTGAGTGATGTCGCATTGGCCGATCGCTGCGTCGTGCGAAGCCAGTAGAGTCCGTCTACAAGATCCGCAGCTGCCACCACTTGATTGGAATCCTTGCGAGCGACGTACATCGTATCCCCGTCAAACACCATTTGGAAGCTGCCGTGCTTGTTAATCTGCGGCACCGAGAGCAGATTTTTGCTCATGCTGGGCACATAGAGCGCGTTCTTGATCTCGATCTCGCGCTCTTCCCCGTTTGGCAGAATCACCTTTTCCACGATGGTCCCCACACCTTTGATGGCCGCCTTGTTGCCATCAGCCACCAGGATCTCGCCATCATTGCCTTCGACCAAACTTGCAAACTTGAACTTGTCGTGGCAGATGTGATGTGTTGCCCCGCTGTCAACGGCCCACATTCCTGGTCCATTCTTGTTCGTCGAAACTCCGCATTCGAACGAAACTGCAAACGCCACTCGATCGTAGCTGTTGCCTTCATCATAATGTCGCCACTGGACATTGTTTGCCCCGCGTCCACGACCATTGCCGCCGCGTTGGGCTCCTCGACTTTCATCCTTTTGCTTCGTCCAGCAACGCTCTGCCGTGTGACCCACCTTGCCGCAGTATGTACATTGGTAGGGCTTGCGCTCGGTACTGAATGCCTTTGTCGCATCTTCAGTCTTCACCGTTGTCGTTGCCGTTGTCATCTTCTCGCCTTGTCGCTTGATGTGCTCGTTAGTCAGCACCTTGACCACATCTTGGGTGCGCAGCTCTGCATTGCTCATCTCCAAGTTCAGAACCACGTTCTCAGAAACTCTTCGGGAGACTGAGCAGCAAGCAGATCGCAATGTCTTCGTCTTCCATCTTGGCACCGATGCTGCTGAGCTTGGCGCCGATGTTCAAGACTTCGTTGCAATGGTGCAAGACGTTGGCACCTTCCGCCATCTTGATGCTGAACAGCTGGCGCTTGAGGTAGATGCGTCCCGCCTTCTGCGACCCACCATAGAGCATCTTCAACCGCGACCACGCTGTCCATGCTTCTTCACAGTTGTCGACCACATGGTGGTAGTCGGCGTCCATGTGGAGCAACATCAACCCGAACGCGATGTTGCTCGCCTTGACGTACTCGTCGGAAGCTCGCGTGTCGGTGAAGGTTGGAGACGTTTCGCGGTTCACGACGTACCAGACTGACTTCGTCAGAAACACGCCGCGCATGTAGCGACACCAGGTTGAGTAGTTGTCCCCATCGAACTTATCGATGGAGACACTGGCCGAGGTGTTGTTGGACGACATGGCGCTTGGGCTCATAACCTGTTGTTATTTGAGCGCGAGGCGAAGAGAAAACGAAGCGGAGAGACCGGAGAGAACGAAGCAGAGAACACTTGCTCACTTGAGGGAGGATTCGAAAGTGATTGATTTATAGATCTTAACTTCTGCCTACCCTAGACTGCATCCAATCACATGGTGCATCTAATCAACCTGATTTACACGCGTCCAATCATCCTACGCGTCTAATCATCTCTGAGGTAATTACCGATGTAAAAACTATCTCGTAAGAACTACGCGCTAGGTTCGGATTGTACCGGTAACCCTCAATACGCCCCCTCAATCCGAACACGCACGGATGCCAAGCGCCGCCGTCAAGTCCTTGTGACGCGGTCCGTGAAGTCCCTTCGTCATGATGTCCGCCAACATCAACGTCGTCTCGCAGTATTCAAGCTTCACTTCGCCGCGCTTGACTTCATCACGGATGTGATGGTACTTGATGTCGATGTGTTTAGCGCGGCCGTGGTTGACCGGATTCTTCGTCATCTTGATGCACGACTGGTTGTCTTCACGGATGACGAGCTCGGGTCCTTCTTCGTTTGCAGCCGCCATGATCTCGCACAGCAAGCGATTGATCCACTTGCCTTCTTGGATCGCCAGGCTGAGCGCGATGTACTCCGCTTCGCTTGTAGACAGTGACACACTTGGCTGTTTCTTGCTGCCCCAACTCACCGGAGCACCCAATAGCATGAAGACGTAGCCGGACGTCGATTTGCGATCAGCAAGGTCACCGGCCCAGTCTGCATCTGAATAGCCACGAAAGTCGATCTTCGCACTTGGCTTGTAGCAGATTCCATGCATCTTGGTGCCTTGTAGGTAGCGGAAGATGCGCTTGACTGCAACCCAGTGTTCTTCTTGGGGTTTCTCCATGAACCGTGACACAAAGCTTACAGCATAGGCGATGTCCGGTCGCGTTGCAGTCGTCAGATGCATCAAAGCACCCACTGCTTCACGGAATGGGACATCCACCTTGCTTGCAGAGTTGCTTGGAACCAGTCGAGAGCTGACGTCCACCGGACTTGCCACAGCCTTGCACTCATCCATTCCAAAGCGCTTGAGGACATCGTCGACATAACGGCGCTGACACATAGTCACGCTGCCATCTTCACCGTCCAATAACTCGATCCCAAGAACAAAGGCACACTTGCCGCTGTCCGTCATCTCGAAGCGTGTCTTGAGGTCGTTCTTGGTGCGCGCAATCATCTCGAGCGAGCTTCCAGTCACCAAGACGTCGTCCACGTAGACCAGCACAAAAACACAATGGCCTTCCGAAGTCATGATGTAGAGACATGGATCGAATCCCGACGCTTGAAAACCAATCGAGCGTATGAACTCGTCGAAGGTCTCGTTCCAAACACGCGAGGCTTGCTTGAGACCGTAGATCGCCTTGATCAGCTCGAGACAGTCGAAATCACCTTCCATCTTGACGCCTTCCGGAACAGCGCAGAACACCTTCTCCTTCATCACTCCATACAGGAACGCAGTCACCACATCGAGCTGGTCGAGGGGCCATCCAAAGTGCTTGGTAATGGCGATGACCATTCGCAGCGTCACATACTTGACCACGGGCGAGAACGTCTCCGTGTAGTCGATGCCATACTTTTGTCGAAAACCCTTGGCCACAAGTCGTGCCTTGTATTTCTCGATCGACCCATCCGCCTTGCGCTTGATCTTGAAGACCCACTTTGTGCCAATGGCGCTTTGTCCGTTGGGTAACTTGGCCGCACGAAAGACACCGCGAAGCTTCATCGAATCGAGCTCCACATCAATTGCCTTGCGCCAGTGTACTTGGTCCGGGCCAGACACTGCTTCTTCAAATGTCGACGGCTCCGAAAAATCGACCGCTGCTTCGACGGCATTTGCACTCGCATGCCAAAACGCGGAGGAAGTCGGTGTGTCATGTTGTTCCTCCGACTTCCTTTCTTCATCTTCGTTGGCTCGACGTGAAGAGAGGTCATCCGGCGCACTTGACTCTTCCAATCCGGGTCGTTGGCGCACTGCTCGGGGCATGCTTGCGTCGTCATTGTCGTGACTGGGTTGGGCCTTGCGCTTTCCTGTTTGTTTGAAGTGTCTCGGACGCGGTTCTTCATCATCAAGATCGATCGATTCGAAGTCCAGGCCATCAACATCGTCATCGGAAATCAGCATCGACATTCCAAAGGCCGACTCATCGAAGTTGACATCGCGACTTATCATCACCTGCCCCGCTTCGATGTCGTAAACTCGATACGCCTTGGACACTTCTTCGTAGCCCAAAAACAATCCAGCCCGGGCCTTGGGATCCCACTTGAGTCGTTTCTCCTTCGGGGTCAAGATGTATGCTTGGCACCCAAAAACGCGCATGTGCTTGACACTTGGCTTAGAACTGTAGACAATCTCGAACGGTGTCTTGTGTGGAATCTTGGGTGACGGCAAACGGTTCTTCACATAGACGGCCAAGTCATTGCCGCTTCAGCCCAGAAGCACTTGTCCAACTTGGCATGATGGAGCATGCTACGACCGATGGTGACGATAGTTCGAATCGCGCGTTCAGCAGTTCCATTGGCTTGATGTGCGTATGGCACCGTGGTTTGTTGCTCGATGCCTTCGACTTCGTAGAAATCTTGGAGCGAGTTCGTCGCAAACTCGCGGGCTCCATCGTGTCGCACAAATTTGACCTTCTTGTTGAACTGTGTCTGTATCATCGTGATGTACTTCTTGATGCACTCTTCGCTCTCTGACTTGGAATGCAGACAAAAACCCTTCATGCATCCGCTGGCTTCATCCACGATCAGCAGCAGATACTTGCTGCCACCCAGAGATTTTTCTTCCATGGGTCCGCAGATGTCGAAGTGGAGCATCTCGAAGGTGTTGTAGGTGCGCTTGTCACGGTTGCTCGGGAATGGTTTTTGGACCATCTTCCCTTCTTGGCATCCTCGACACACACTTGATCCATTCGGCTTGGAAGGGATGTGAGCGTCCTTGATCATGTGGCTTGTCACCATCCTGCGAAGCACGTCGACTGGAGCATGGCCCATTCGCGCATGTAGATCAACAGCGTTGCTGAGTGATGTCGCATTGGCCGATCGCTGCGTCGTGCGAAGCCAGTAGAGTCCGTCTACAAGATCCGCAGCTGCCACCACTTGATTGGAATCCTTGCGAGCGACGTACATCGTATCCCCGTCAAACACCACTTGGAAGCTGCCGTGCTTGTTAATCTGCGGCACCGAGAGCAGATTTTTGCTCATGCTGGGCACATAGAGCGCGTTCTTGATCTCGATCTCGCGCTCTTCCCCGTTTGGCAGAATCACCTTTTCCACGATGGTCCCCACACCTTTGATGGCCGCCTTGTTGCCATCAGCCACCAGGATCTCGCCATCATTGCCTTCGACCAAACTTGCAAACTTGAACTTGTCGTGGCAGATGTGATGTGTTGCCCCGCTGTCAACGGCCCACATTCCTGGTCCATTCTTGTTCGTCGAAACTCCGCATTCGAACGAAACTGCAAACGCCACTCGATCGTAGCTGTTGCCTTCATCATAATGTCGCCACTGGACATTGTTTGCCCCGCGTCCACGACCATTGCCGCCGCGTTGGGCTCCTCGACTTTCATCCTTTTGCTTCGTCCAGCAACGCTCTGCCGTGTGACCCACCTTGCCGCAGTATGTGCATTGGTAGGGCTTGCGCTCGGTACTGAATGCCTTTGTCGCATCTTCAGTCTTCACCGTTGTCGTTGCCGTTGTCATCTTCTCGCCTTGTCGCTTGATGTGCTCGTTAGTCAGCACCTTGACCACATCTTGCGTGTGCAGCTCTGCATTGCTCATCTCCAAGTTCAGAACCACGTTCTCGAAACTCTTCGGGAGACTGAGCAGCAAGCAGATCGCAATGTCTTCGTCTTCCATCTTGGCACCGATGCTGCTGAGCTTGGCGCCGATGTTCAAGACTTCGTTGCAATGGTGCAAGACGTTGGCACCTTCCGCCATCTTGATGCTGAACAGCTGGCGCTTGAGGTAGATGCGTCCCGCCTTCTGCGACCCACCATAGAGCATCTTCAACCGCGACCACGCTGTCCATGCTTCTTCACAGTTGTCGACCACATGGTGGTAGTCGGCGTCCATGTGGAGCAACATCAACCCGAACGCGATGTTGCTCGCCTTGACGTACTCGTCGGAAGCTCGCGTGTCGGTGAAGGTTGGAGACGTTTCGCGGTTCACGACGTACCAGACTGACTTCGTCAGAAACACGCCGCGCATGTAGCGACACCAGGTTGAGTAGTTGTCCCCATCGAACTTATCGATGGAGACACTGGCCGAGGTGTTGTTGGACGACATGGCGCTTGGGCTCATAACCTGTTGTTATTTGAGCGCGAGGCGAAGAGAAAACGAAGCGGAGAGACCGGAGAGAACGAAGCAGAGAACACTTGCTCACTTGAGGGAGGATTCGAAAGTGATTGATTTATAGGTCTTAACTTCTGCCTACCCTAGACTGCATCCAATCACATGGTGCATCTAATCAACCTGATTTACACGCGTCCAATCATCCTACGCGTCTAATCACCTCTGAGGTAATTACCGATGTAAAAACTATCTCGTAAGAACTACGCGCTAGGTTCGGATTGTACCGGTAACCCTCAATAAGGATCAAGAAGAGGGCGATCTTAGTCGGTACTTCAATTGAGCCATGAAGAAGTACGAGGTGGATCAACGTACAGCTCAGCGAATGAATCGACAGCCAAACCGCTACCCAGATCGACGTACTTTGCTCCAACCTTCACACGAAAGCCTTGACATGCCGGATGTGGAGATGGAGTCGGTGGGGTCGGACATTTACCAACATATCCATGAGGCGGCGGAATACGACCCGGATGATCTATGGATGCCCGAACCACGGCGCCCTCAAGTAGCCGCGACCGGTGCGACTACCGGAGGGGGAAGCATCACGCAGAGGATCAGAATCTCAGCGATTTCTGAGCTGAAAAAAATTCTCAGGGAAGGATCGGGAAGAAGACAAAGCACGGACCTGGATCGGCAAAGTGAAATCAGCGTTTATCCGGGACCAAGCACCGGACGAGGAGAGATGTCTGGTCTTCGGTGATCTCATGGTGGGCCCAGCCCGCTACTGGTATCGACAGCTGAGTAGATCGACGAGATTCAATTGGAAAGAATTGGTGAACAGTTTTCTTGTGGAGTATGCAGGACACGGGATGTCCGCGAGCAGGCAGTACTACCATGCAAAGAAACGATCGGAGGAAGATCCTTTACAGTACCTGTATCGGCTTAATGTGATGGGAATGCAGGCGAAGATACCGGTGATGACTGGATTGCCAGCTGCACGCAAGGAACATGTCAATCATTTCATTGACACCTTGGACGACCCCGATCTGTCCAATCAATTGCTACTGCTGAATGTAGAAGACGCGGAGGCCATGCAAAAGACACTGCACGGATATCAACAAGGGAGATCGCGTCAAGGGAAAGTGGTGATGGGATCGTCCAAATTCAGGCAGAAGGGAGCTCAGGGTCCAGCGCTGTCTAAGCCTGCACGAGCGGTAAGAATGGTCCGTACCGAGGACGTCTGCAGCGAGTCAGGATCGGACACCTGCGGATCGGATTTGGAAGATCGATTGAGATCGATCCATGTGGCTGCTACCGCGGATCGCCGTTCATCCCCCAATGAAGTTGCAGCAAACGCGAGATCGGTCGACCCGAACACTCGTCAAGACTATCAAGATCGCAATATGCCATTGAAGCCGTGTACTCATTGCGGATCGACCAAGCATGGAGATCTCGGTTGCTGGAAGCGGCTCACTTGCCAGAAGTGTGGGCGTAAAGGACACCCCTCTGACAATTGATTTTTCGTGTGTCGTGCTTGCGGTGAGATGCACGACCCGGGGAAGTGTCCCATGCAGGAGTTCTACAACATGATCCGTCAGTGGTACGTCCCGAATAAGCATGCGGGGATGCTACCAGAGAAGACCGAGAAGATGTTAAACTAGGACGCTCGCCAGGTTTGAATCTGGTACGAGCCGAGCGTTCTGGGCTCTGCATTATTGCATACGTGGAAAAAAAGAAGACAGATCGCGAGAGTAAGCAGGATATTGACGTGGAAACAAATATATCTCGTTCGAAGTTAAAACGTGTCGCTTCCGTGTCCCATCTGAAGCGGATCGATGAGTACTCACGATCTGAACCAGCTATGGAGATCGAGCTCGCTTATGGTGAATCTCGCGGATACTGGAAACATTATTCACCCGGGAAGTGGTTCAAACAAGCGAAAGCCGTTGGCAAGATCAACAACGTAAAAGCTACTCTGTTATTTGATTCTGGTGCTGAAGTGTCGATCATTAACACTACCTTTGCTCGTGAGGTCGGTTGCAATATTGACGAAAGTCAACGACAAGAATGTATATGATTGGAGAAACTCCGTATATGACGGTAGGACGTACCAAGATCAAGGTGACCCCTCGCGGGATCGCTGGTATACTATTTCAATGTATGGGTAGGCGATCTGGCAGGGCAAGAAGCGATTCTGGGTATGGATTTTATGGTGCCTGCTGGAGTGCGGCTCGATCTAGCGGATGGCGCGCTATGTCTACCAGAAGAAATCCGTATTCATCTCTGTTGACGGTCATCGGTTTCTACCAGTATTGGTAACCGTGACCGGTCCAATCCGAACCGCCTGTTCAGCTTAGTATTTACGACGTAGTTCTTACGGTAATTACCATAGTTGATTAGACGCGTAGGATGATGAGATGCTTCACATGATTTATATGTGCACCACATATAAATCATGTAGTAAGTAGTAAGCCCCGATAATCAATCACTTTCCAATCTTCCATCTACCCCCCAAGTGTCTTCTCCGGTCTTCCGAGTGGACTCCCAGCATCACTCCCAGTTTCGGTCGTCAAGCTTTTCACCCAATCAACAGGTTATGAGCCCAAGCACGATGTCCTCTGCTCATGATGCCACCACTGTTGTAACTTGAGCGCGAGGCGAAGAGAAAACGAAGCGGAGAGACCGGAGAGAACGAAGCAGAGAACACTTGCTCACTTGAGGGAGGATTCGAAAGTGATTGATTTATAGGTCTTAACTTCTGCCTACCCTAGACTGCATCCAATCACATGGTGCATCTAATCAACCTGATTTACACGCGTCCAATCATCCTACGCGTCTAATCATCTCTGAGGTAATTACCGATGTAAAAACTATCTCGTAAGAACTACGCGCTAGGTTCGGATTGTACCGGTAACCCTCAATACGCCCCCTCAATCCGAACACGCACGGATGCCAAGCGCCGCCGTCAAGTCCCTTGTGACGCGGTCCGTGAAGTCCCTTCGTCATGATGTCCGCCAACATCAACGTCGTCTCGCAGTATTCAAGCTTCACTTCGCCGCGCTTGACTTCATCACGGATGTGATGGTACTTGATGTCGATGTGTTTAGCGCGGCCGTGGTTGACCGGATTCTTCGTCATCTTGATGCACGACTGGTTGTCTTCACGGATGACGAGCTCGGGTCCTTCTTCGTTTGCAGCCGCCATGATCTCGCACAGCAAGCGATTGATCCACTTGCCTTCTTGGATCGCCAGGCTGAGCGCGATGTACTCCGCTTCGCTTGTAGACAGTGACACACTTGGCTGTTTCTTGCTGCCCCAACTCACCGGAGCACCCAATAGCATGAAGACGTAGCCGGACGTCGATTTGCGATCAGCAAGGTCACCGGCCCAGTCTGCATCTGAATAGCCACGAAAGTCGATCTTCGCACTTGGCTTGTAGCAGATTCCATGCATCTTGGTGCCTTGTAGGTAGCGGAAGATGCGCTTGACTGCAACCCAGTGTTCTTCTTGGGGTTTCTCCATGAACCGTGACACAAAGCTTACAGCATAGGCGATGTCCGGTCGCGTTGCAGTCGTCAGATGCATCAAAGCACCCACTGCTTCACGGAATGGGACATCCACCTTGCTTGCAGAGTTGCTTGGAACCAGTCGAGAGCTGACGTCCACCGGACTTGCCACAGCCTTGCACTCATCCATTCCAAAGCGCTTGAGGACATCGTCGACATAACGGCGCTGACACATAGTCACGCTGCCATCTTCACCGTCCAATAACTCAATCCCAAGAACAAAAGGCACACTTGCCGCTGTCCGTCATCTCGAAGCGTGTCTTGAGGTCGTTCTTGGTGCGCGCAATCATCTCGAGCGAGCTTCCAGTCACCAAGACATCGTCCACGTAGACCAGCACAAAAACACAATGGCCTTCCGAAGTCATGATGTAGAGACATGGATCGAATCCCGACGCTTGAAAACCAATCGAGCGTATGAACTCGTCGAAGGTCTCGTTCCAAACACGCGAGGCTTGCTTGAGACCGTAGATCGCCTTGATCAGCTCGAGACAGTCGAAATCACCTTCCATCTTGACGCCTTCCGGAACAGCGCAGAACACCTTCTCCTTCATCACTCCATACAGGAACGCAGTCACCACATCGAGCTGGTCGAGGGGCCATCCAAAGTGCTTGGTAATGGCGATGACCATTCGCAGCGTCACATACTTGACCACGGGCGAGAACGTCTCCGTGTAGTCGATGCCATACTTTTGTCGAAAACCCTTGGCCACAAGTCGTGCCTTGTATTTCTCGATCGACCCATCCGCCTTGCGCTTGATCTTGAAGACCCACTTTGTGCCAATGGCGCTTTGTCCGTTGGGTAACTTGGCCGCACGAAAGACACCGCGAAGCTTCATCGAATCGAGCTCCGCATCAATTGCCTTGCGCCAGTGTACTTGGTCCGGGCCAGACACTGCTTCTTCAAATGTTGACGGCTCCGAAAAAATCGACCGCTGCTTCGACGGCGTTTGCACTCGCATGCCAAAACGCGGAGGAAGTCGGTGTGTCATGTTGTTCCTCCGACTTCCTTTCTTCATCTTCGTTGGCTCGACGTGAAGAGAGGTCATCCGGCGCACTTGACTCTTCCAATCCGGGTCGTTGGCGCACTGCTCGGGGCATGCTTGCGTCGTCATTGTCGTGACTGGGTTGGGCCTTGCGCTTTCCTGTTTGTTTGAAGTGTCTCGGACGCGGTTCTTCATCATCAAGATCGATCGATTCGAAGTCCAGGCCATCAACATCGTCATCGGAAATCAGCATCGACATTCCAAAGGCCGACTCATCGAAGTTGACATCGCGACTTATCATCACCTGCCCCGCTTCGATGTCGTAAACTCGATACGCCTTGGACACTTCTTCGTAGCCCAAAAACAATCCAGCCCGGGCCTTGGGATCCCACTTGAGTCGTTTCTCCTTCGGGGTCAAGATGTATGCTTGGCACCCAAAAACGCGCATGTGCTTGACACTTGGCTTAGAACTGTAGACAATCTCGAACGGTGTCTTGTGTGGAATCTTGGGTGACGGCAAACGGTTCTTCACATAGACGGCCAAGTCATTGCCGCTTCAGCCCAGAAGCACTTGTCCAACTTGGCATGATGGAGCATGCTACGACCGATGGTGACGATAGTTCGAATCGCGCGTTCAGCAGTTCCATTGGCTTGATGTGCGTATGGCACCGTGGTTTGTTGCTCGATGCCTTCGACTTCGTAGAAATCTTGGAGCGAGTTCGTCGCAAACCTCGCGGGCTCCATCGTGTCGCACAAATTTGACCTTCTTGTTGAACTGCGTCTGTATCATCGTGATGTACTTCTTGGATGCACTCTTCGCTCTCTGACTTGGAATGCAGACAAAAACCCTTCATGCATCCGCTGGCTTCATCCACGATCAGCAGCAGATACTTGCTGCCACCCAGAGATTTTTCTTCCATGGGTCCGCAGATGTCGAAGTGGAGTATCTCGAAGGTGTTGTAGGTGCGCTTGTCACGGTTGCTCGGGAATGGTTTTTGGACCATCTTCCCTTCTTGGCATCCTCGACACACACTTGATCCATTCGGCTTGGAAGGGATGTGAGCGTCCTTGATCATGTGGCTTGTCACCATCCTGCGAAGCACGTCGACTGGAGCATGGCCCATTCGCGCATGTAGATCAACAGCGTTGCTGAGTGATGTCGCATTGGCCGATCGCTGCGTCGTGCGAAGCCAGTAGAGTCCGTCTACAAGATCCGCAGCTGCCACCACTTGATTGGAATCCTTGCGAGCGACGTACATCGTATCCCCGTCAAACACCACTTGGAAGTTGCCGTGCTTGTTAGTCTGCGGCACCGAGAGCAGATTTCTGCTCATGCTGGGCACATAGAGCGCGTTCTTGATCTCGATCTCGCGCTCTTCCCCCGTTTGGCAGAATCACCTTTTCCACGATGGTCCCCACACCTTTGATGGCCGCCTTGTTGCCATCAGCCACCAGGATCTCGCCATCATTGCCTTCGACCAAGCTTGCAAACTTGAACTTGTCGTGGCAGATGTGATGTGTTGCCCCGCTGTCAACGGCCCACATTCCTGGTCCATTCTTGTTCGTCGAAACTCCGCATTCGAACGAAACTGCAAACGCCACTCGATCGTAGCTGTTGCCTTCATCATAATGTCGCCACTGGACATTGTTTGCCCCGCGTCCACGACCATTGCCGCCGCGTTGGGCTCCTCGACTTTCATCCTTTTGCTTCGTCCAGCAACGCTCTGCCGTGTGCCCCACCTTGCCGCAGTATGTGCATTGGTAGGGCTTGCGCTCGGTACTGAATGCCTTTGTCGCATCTTCAGTCTTCACCGTTGTCGTTGCCGTTGTCATCTTCTCGCCTTGTCGCTTGATGTGCTCGTTAGTCAGCACCTTGACCACATCTTGCGTGCGCAGCTCTGCATTGCTCATCTCCAAGTTCAGAACCACGTTCTCGAAACTCTTCGGGAGACTGAGCAGCAAGCAGATCGCAATGTCTTCGTCTTCCATCTTGGCACCGATGCTGCTGAGCTTGGCGCCGATGTTCAAGACTTCGTTGCAATGGTGCAAGACGTTGGCACCTTCCGCCATCTTGATGCTGAACAGCTGGCGCTTGAGGTAGATGCGTCCCGCCTTCTGCGACCCACCATAGAGCATCTTCAACCGCGACCACGCTGTCCATGCTTCTTCACAGTTGTCGACCACATGGTGGTAGTCGGCGTCCATGTGGAGCAACATCAACCCGAACGCGATGTTGCTCGCCTTGACGTACTCGTCGGAAGCTCGCGTGTCGGTGAAGGTTGGAGACGTTTCGCGGTTCACGACGTACCAGACTGACTTCGTCAGAAACACGCCGCGCATGTAGCGACACCAGGTTGAGTAGTTGTCCCCATCGAACTTATCGATGGAGACACTGGCCGAGGTGTTGTTGGACGACATGGCGCTTGGGCTCATAACCTGTTGTAACTTGAGCGCGAGGCGAAGAGAAAACGAAGCGGAGAGACCGGAGAGAACGAAGCAGAGAACACTTGCTCACTTGAGGGAGGATTCGAAAGTGATTGATTTATAGGTCTTAACTTCTGCCTACCCTAGACTGCATCCAATCACATGGTGCATCTAATCAACCTGATTTACACGCGTCCAATCATCCTACGCGTCTAATCATCTCTGAGGTAATTACCGATGTAAAAACTATCTCGTAAGAACTACGCGCTAGGTTCGGATTGTACCGGTAACCCTCAATATTGGGTCGACCTTTTCTCGGGATATGTGATTGCAAAGGCTAGCTCCTCTCGGACGGCACAAACAATAGCGGAGAATTACGAAGAATGTGTGTTTCGACGCTTCGGAGCTAGCGAGGCTATCAGGCACGATCGAGAACCGGGATTTATGTCCGACTTCTTTCGAGCCTTCAGTCGGATCTTAGGACAAAAACAGCGTGCTACTATGGCTTACAGGCCACAAGCAAATGGAACAGCCGAACGAATGGTGCAAACCCCTGACACATTCGCTCAAGATGTACGTGGCTGAAGTTGACCAGCGAGACTGGGATGAGTATGCTGAGCGGCTCACCTTTGCCATTAACACTGCACAAGATCGGATCCGGGGGATACCCCATTTTATCTGATTCATGGGTGGGACCCGCGATCGACTTTGGAGGCTACGCTACCAGTGGGGAATACGGGGACACGAGATCGCGATCCAAAGAGGTGGAGATACAAAATACAAAGACAATACCTGCGAGCCCGATCTGCAGTGAACGATCGTTTACAAGCCGCGATCCAGGAGCGAGCGGATCGACACAACGAAGATCTGGAACCACACGAGATAGAAGTAGGAGCGCAAGTTTGGCTATACCTGGACCGAGTTAAAGAGGGATATGCGAAGAAGCTAGCGCACATGTGGCATGGGCCATTCCGAGTTGCGGACGTATGTGGAGATCATGCTGTAAAATTGGAGATCGCTGGAACCCCATATCGGTTATTTCCGATTGTACACATATCGAAGCTAAAAAAGGTAAAGACGTTCTCTGAACGCCCGAAGGATCAGCTTACGATAGAGGAATCAGATCGCTTGGATTTCGATGAAGCTCTGCTGCCGGAAGACAGTTGGGATGGCGATCTTGAAGAAGGGGAATACGAAGTGGAGGCAATATTGGACGTGCGAACTGGTAGAAAAACCCGTTATGGGCGAGTACACCGGCAGTTTCTGGTGAAGTGGAAGGGATATCCCGATCTAAGTTGGGTGGACGAGGCCGATCTACGTTGTGGGGCGATCTTGCAAGAGTTTGAGCGGAACCGAGTGAGTCGAAACCGTTTCGACGTAATGCAGTCTCATGAAGGCAAGTCAGACGAACCTTAACAGTTCGAACAAGTATGCGGGAGGTAGCATATATTGAGGGTTACAGGTACAATCCGAACCTAGCGCGTAGTTCTTACGAGATAGTTTTTACATCGGTAATTACCTCAGAGATGATTAGACGCGTAGGATGATTGGACGCGTGTAAATCAGGTTGATTAGATGCACCATGTGATTGGATGCAGTCTAGGGTAGGCAGAAGTTAAGACCTATAAATCAATCACTTTCGAATCCTCCCCTCAAGTGAGCAAGTGTTCTCTGCTTCGTTCTCTCCGGTCTCTCCGCTTCGTTTTCTCTTCGCCTCGCGCTCAAGTAACAACAGGTTATGAGCCCAAGCGCCATGTCGTCTAACAACACCTCGGCCAGTGTCTCCATCGATAAGTTCGATGGGGACAACTACTCAACCTGGTGTCGCTACATGCGCGGTGTGTTTCTGACGAAGTCAGTCTGGTACGTCGTGAACCGCGAAACGTCTCCAACCTTCACCGACACGCGAGCTTCCGACGAGTACGTCAAGGCGAGCAACATCGCGTTCGGGTTGATGTTGCTCCACATGGACGCCGACTACCACCATGTGGTCGACAACTGTGAAGAAGCATGGACAGCGTGGTCACGGTTGAAGATGCTCTATGGTGGGTCGCAGAAGGCGGGACGCATCTACCTCAAGCGCCAGCTGTTCAGCATCAAGATGGCGGAAGGTGCCAACGTCTTGCACCATTGCAACGAAGTCTTGAACATCGGCGCCAAGCTCAGCAGCATCGGTGCCAAGATGGAAGACGAAGACATTGCGATCTGCTTGCTGCTCAGTCTCCCGAAGAGTTTCGAGAACGTGGTTCTGAACTTGGAGATGAGCAATGCAGAGCTGCGCACGCAAGATGTGGTCAAGGTGCTGACTAACGAGCACATCAAGCGACAAGGCGAGAAGATGACAACGGCAACGACAACGGTGAAGACTGAAGATGCGACAAAGGCATTCAGTACCGAGCGCAAGCCCTACCAATGCACATACTGCGGCAAGGTGGGGCACACGGCAGAGCGTTGCTGGACGAAGCAAAAGGATGAAAGTCGAGGAGCCCAACGCGGCGGCAATGGTCGTGGACGCGGGGCAAACAATGTCCAGTGGCGACATTATGATGAAGGCAACAGCTACGATCGAGTGGCGTTTGCAGTTTCGTTCGAATGCGGAGTTTCGACGAACAAGAATGGACCAGGAATGTGGGCCGTTGACAGCGGGGCAACACATCACATCTGCCACGACAAGTTCAAGTTTGCAAGCTTGGTCGAAGGCAATGATGGCGATATCCTGGTGGCTGATGGCAACAAGGCGACCATCAAAGGTGTGGGGACCATCGTGGAAAAGGTGATTCTGCCAAACGGGGAAGAGCGCGAGATCGAGATCAAGAACGCGCTCTATGTGCCCAGCATGAGCAAAAATCTGCTCTCGGTGCCGCAGATTAACAAGCACGGCAACTTCCAAGTGGTGTTTGACGGGGATACGATGTACGTCGCTCGCAAGGATTCCAATCAAGTGGTGGCAGCTGCGGATCTTGTAGACGGACTCTACTGGCTTCGCACGACGCAGCGATCGGCCAATGCGACATTTAACAGTCAGCGGCTGTGCAGAAGACACTCTTCATGCTGCGTCAATTGTTGACGGTCAGGTGGTCGACCAAGTATCGGTATACCGGTGGGTACCGGTATGTACCAGTAAGCGCGATCAATCAGGTAACGACGTTCTAGCTGGTATTTGACGTCATTGCATGACGTCAGTGGATTAGACGTGAGTGGATGACGTCACATGATTTATATGTACACTACAAATAATAGGCTACATGTAGTATCAAAGTGCGAAGTAAGTCCCGATAATCAATCACTTCGATCTTCCAACTATTGGGCAAGGTTTTCTGCACTGGACCAAAGTCTTAAGTTCATCACCGCTCTCTGCCTTCGCCTTTCTCGGCTTCCTCTTGTCCGACGCTTGGTCCAACAGGTTATGAGCCCTCCGCCCTGTCGTCCACCAGCAACGCCTCCATTGACAAGTTCAACGGAGACAATTACGCAACGTGGAGCCGGTACATGCGCGGTGTGTTTTTGACGAAGTCCGTCTGGCACGTTGTCAACCGTGAAGTGACTCCGACTTTCACCGACCCGCGAGCGTCCGATGACTACGTCAAGGCAAGCAACGTCGCGTTTGGTATGATGCTGCTGCACATGAACGCGGACTACCATCATGTGCTGGACAACTGCGAGGAAGCCTGGGTTGCGTGGACAAGTCTGAAGACGCTGTACGGTGGGTCGCAGAAGGCAGGACGCATCTACCTCAAGCGACAACTTTTCAGTATCAAGATGGCTGAAGGCGCGAATGTCATGCATCACTGCTGTTGAAAAGACAGCGGCTGTGAAGAAGACACCTCGTCAAGCTGCGTCAAGTGTTGAAGCAAGTGGAAGACCAAGCTTCGCTATACCGGTGGGTACCGGTATGTACCAGTAAGGGCGAAGTCAGGAAATGACGTCACTGGATGACGTCATTGCATGACGTCAGTGGGTGACGTCAGTGGGTGACGTCACTGGATGACGTCACTGCGAATAATAGGCTTAGAGGTAGTATTCAAAGTTGCGAACTAAGTACCTATTATAAATATATATTCACTTTGCGTTTTGCACTCGGACCAAGAAGTCTAAAGTTCATCAGGTTATGAGCCCAAGTTCGTCAGACTCTGAAACCGCCAACAATTCAAGCTTAGCTGCCATGGACGCCTCCTCCCTCCGCATCTCCAAGTTCGATGGAACTAACTTCCACGCCTGGAAGTTCAAGATGCAGATGGTGCTGGAGGAACGGGACCTATGGGAGGTCGTCAGCGGTGAGATCAAGGCGGAACAGTGCGAGACTCAGTTGGACCAAGCGACGTACAAGAGGAAGTCAAGAAAGGCGATGGCAGTGATCTGTCTAGCCATGGAAGATTCCCAGCTACCGTTGGTCCGGTCGGCAAGTGGTGCATGCGACGCATGGTCAAGGTTGGAAGACCACTTCGAGAAGAAGAGTCTTGCCAACAAGCTGTTCTTGCGCCGTCGCTTCTTCACGACAATGATGGAAGAAGGCGACGATGTGCTCGAACACATCAACAAGCTCAAGACGCTGGCGGAACAGCTAGAAGCGGTGGGGGCTCCAGTCTGCGAGGACGATCTGGTGATCACACTCCTCGGCAGCCTGAGTGACTCGTATCAACTCTTGATCACAGCTTTGGAGTCGCGCTCAGACACTCTTAGCTGGGAGCTCGTGACGTCTCGACTGCTTCATGAAGAAATGAAGCGGAAGGAGCAAGGAAGTAAAGGTGATGAAGCTTCGCAAGGTCAAGCGTTCATCACAAGGGGACAATCAGCGCAAAGGGCGACCAGTGAAGAAGTCCTGGCCGTGCCACAATTGCGGAAAGATTGGTCACTGGATGGCGGAGTGCCCCCTCGCGCATCCAAGAAAACACGGAGAGACACCGGCCACAGCGTGCTCAAGACAGCGGCGACCGCTATCGATCACAACGTGCAAACGTCGC